GGGAACCTGATCCAGGTCTATAAATATCTAAGGTGTGGGGGGCAGAGTGGTGAGGCCAGACTGTTTTCAGTAGTGTGTGGAGACAGGACAAGGGGAAACGGCCAGAAACAGCAGCATAGGAAGTTCCACAGAAATGTGTGCAAGAACTTCTTTATGGTGAGGGTGATGGAGCACTGGAACAGGCTGCCCAGGGAGATTGTGGAGTCTCCTTCTCTGGAGATATTCAAGACCCGCCTGGATGCCTACTTGTGCGACCTGGTGTAGGGATCCTGCTTTGGCAGGGGGGTTGGACTCGATGATCTCTGGAGGTCCCTTCCAACCCCTACGATTCTGTGATTCTGTGTTTTTCCTCTTGCTATGTAGTAGACTCATTCACTTTCATAAAACAGATTTTAAGTATATGTATGACATTCATTAGAATTTATTTTTAAAGACTCTTGGAGTCTGGCTTTCATTATTTAATTTAACAAAGATCTACATAAAATTCTAGATGCTATAGACACCCCATGCATAAAAGATGTCTTCCTGCAGCATGCAGTCTCTCTAGGCATCTGCAGCCTGAGTAAATATTCTTAACAAGTGTCTAGATCAGTGAAGTATTTAGGCTTCTAATACTCATTAAGCCTAAAGATTTTTGAATTTATTTTTTAAAGCTATCCTGCACCATGCATCCTGCAGCAGTCATATAAACTACCATTTAAGTGCATTTTTATGACCAAAGTCTTGATCCTCAAAAGCTCTGCAGTAGTCTGGCTTTTTCTTAATGGAATTTAGACATATGATAAATATTTTGAGCCTGTTTTTCTCTATGTGGAAGCTCATTCTGTTGAGCACTTAACACAAATGTACTCTTACTACTTTTTTCTTTCAAGCTAGGACTAACATAAAAAAAAAAAACAACACACCAACAAACAACAAAAGAAAACAACAACGACAACAAAAACAAACAAAAAAACCACACTCTTGAGGTGCAAGTAGTACAGCCTGATATACGGCCATTGTGTGTAAATGATGTCCATCCATGCTGCCTATGGACCTCATGATCTTTCTCTGCCCTGTGTTCATCACCCAGTCCTTCTTTGTTCATTGGTGTTTTGTACTTTGATACACCAATTTATTTACAGATGTCCTCTGCTGCTGCCTGTGGCAGAACCATGCCAGCACCTCAGCTTTCATGATCTGGCAGTTCTGGTTGGAATTCCTTTCATGTTTGAAGACGAGAGAGATGTTCAGAGGAGAATCATTGTCTCTGTGAGCCTTCTAATTAATGAGTCAGAGGAATAACATGACTGCTTTTTCTCACTTTTGCGAATTTATGAAATTGCATAACTTTGTGTGGGTCCAGCATGCAAGACCTGCAGATTTTTGGATAGTCCATTATGTGCATTTTATGAAAACAGGTTCCATTTTCTTTCATGTGATAGGAACAGTACTTTGGAAATCAGAACAGAAGTATCAGCAAGCCTTTGACTATCATCTGTAGCTTATTGTATGGCACCTTCTTTGGAGTGAACAAGAATGACACTTTTTTTTCCCCAACTCACTCCTTTTTTTTTTTTTTTATTAGGAAAGATAGATTTTAATAATTCTGGTGCCTGTCAACACTAAAAGTAGTCAGATTTAATTAGCCATTAACTATATGAGTGTTTGGAGACAGTGTTTTTTTATAGCAGCTGAGTAAATGTTCAGTAATTCTGCATATTGCTTTTTCTTTGTTATGAAATATACTTAAGTATTAAAAAACATGTCTATTAGTATGACTTATTTTGCCAGCTATAGGAACTTGAGTAATAATTCATAAATAAAATTTTATAAGTGCTCTCTGCTTTTCATGGTAAAAAAGAAAAGAGCTTAAGTTGATTAGTCTGGCTGTTGCTGGCAGTGAGCTTGCCTATTACTGTTGCAAGGTAGCTCTAAGCTTTTCCCATCTGGTTTCAGGGGAATCAGCCAAGTACAAGAAATATCCTGCTCATACTGGCTCAGCACAGCAGTTCCGATGTCACTCGCAATTTCTCTGATCATTTTGAAAGGAATGACAAGGGATGAGAGAAAAGTCAGCCTTTGTGTGACAGAGAAATATTGCAGTATCTTTTCTGAAAGCAAACCAAAGCAGATCAATCTTTTCAACCCTTGCTTTAGACAGTATTCAGTACTTGTTGGTATTTCAACTGCAGTTTACCTGTTGACTCTCCATAGACACAAAGTCAGAATAGGTAGTTAAGGTCCCACACAAAGCATTAGAAAATCTGTGCTCATTTCTGTAAAATGTGCCTTAATTTGTGTGTGCTGTTCAGGAGCGATTCAATCTGACTTCTGACTTCTTGTTCTGTTGCTCATTCTCAAATTTTGTGTTTTTCAGGAGATACCTTTTTGTGTAGATCCATTGTATCACTTAAGCCACACTTAACTATAAACTATGAGAAAATCTACATTAACTCCCTTGACTTCATTAGAGTGTACCAGCATGCACTGGTTGAAATCCATTTTATATAATCTCAGATCTTACAGATAAACAGCCAAAGCAATAGCTCTGTGAAATATCTGAGATTTCAG